TAGGGTAGGGTAGGGTAGGGTACAATAAGGTAGAATAAGATATGGCGTTGTGTGGTGTGGTACGGTAGGGTAGGGTAGGGTAGAATTTGGTATGGTGTGGTGTGGTAGGGTAGAATAGGGTATGATGTGGTATGGTAGGGTAGGGTAGGGTAGAGCAGGGTATTGTGTGGTGTGGTAGGGTAGGGTAGGGTAGAATAGGGTATGATGTGGTGTGGTAGGGCAGGGTAGAATAGGGTATGATGTGGTGTGGTAGGGCAGGGTAGAATAGGGTATGATGTGGTGTGGTAGGGTAGAATAGTGTATGGTGTGGTGTGGTGTGGTAGGGTAGGGTAGAATAGGGTAGGGTATGGTGTGGTGTGGTGTGGTAGGATAGAATATGGTATGGTGTGGTAGGGTAGAATAGGGTATGGTGTGGTGTGGTGTGCAATGGTAGAATAGGGTATGGTGTGGTGTGGTAGGGTAGAATAGGGTATGGTGTGGTGTGGTAGGGTAGAATAGGGTATGGTGTGGTGTGGTGTGGTAGGGTAGGGTAGAATAGGGTAGGGTATGGTGTGGTGTGGTGTGGTAGGATAGAATAGGGTATGGTGTGGTAGGGTAGAATAGGGTATGGTGTGGTGTGGTGTGCAATGGTAGAATAGGGTATGGTGTGGTGTGGTAGGGTAGAATAGGGTATGGTGTGGTGTGGTAGGGTAGAATAGGGTATGGTGTGGTGTGGTAGGGTAGAATAGGGTATGGTGTGGTGTGGTAGGGTAGAATAGGGTATGGTGTGGTGTGGTAGGGTAGAATAGGGTATGGTGTGGTGTGGTACGTTAGGGTGTGGTGTGGTGTGGTGCGGTGCGGTGTGATATGATGGTATGGTATGGTATGGTATCGTATAGTGTTAGCTCGGGTCCACTGACAGGTTAGGAACGATTGTTAAACCTAAACAGCTGAAGTGGAAATGGGATTAACACAGTGCGTGGCCCTATGATGCAATAGATGCAATTTATGCTGTGGCTAAATCGTACCTCATCCTTACCAGCATGTGAATGTGTGTGTGAATAAGTGGATGGCTGTGTTGTGAAGCACCTTGGGGGATTGTAGAAACCTAAGAAGGTGCTATACAAATACAGGCTGTTTATCATAGAGTAACGGGTTGTCATTTTCATTTTACATTTAAGGAGTTGTTGTGTTTGGAGTTATTTTTTTTGGAAATGTTCTCTGAAAGTGCAGCTGTCATTCAATCTGGTTACCTTGACAACGTGTCACGTATGACTGGGCAGCAGAGGAGGTTCCGGAGGATTCTCATGCTGTAAAATTGCTATGCTTTATGCAACAAATAGTTTCTGATCAATGTGCCTGCTTGTGAGTACTTAAAGATTGTTTTAGGTCAGTTTTGATTGCGTTTACGTTATATATGAGAACAGTCCTTAGTCTTTACGTCTAATAGTTTAATCTTATTTTGATCTTATATGTTTAATCTTACCTGCTTTTTTTAATGTAAAGCTAATTATGTGTCTGTTGGCCAGATCGTCGTTGTAAATGAGAATGAGTTCTCAATCGACTCATCTGGTTAAATAAAAGTTTAAATACAAATAGAAATAAACAAAATATGAAGTGGAATCAGATTTGTGTGGTTTATCTGTCGCTCCACAAAGGGTCCCAAATCACAGCATAGCTCCTTCTGGGCGATCAGTGCATTCACGGAGCAGGCATTCCCTCCGGAGTGTTCGCTCTGCCAAATCCTCCAAACACTGACCAGCCATCATATATTGTCAGATTCCTGTCGGTCACGTGTGTCTTTTATTGCTTTTAGCACCAATTACGTGAAAAAGCTATTTTTCCACCGGCATAATTATTTATGGGGTAAAATACTTTATGGATGAGGAACATGTGGACAACTGAGAACTTCAGCACTGCGATTCCCTCGTTCTACCATTAGGTGCTGTTTGTATGCATGGTCAGAGCTATTCTTATATTTAGGAACATTTCTATGCACAAGTACAAAATGGAGAATACCACACAATGCGTAAAATTGGTCCTACGTACAAAATACGCACATATCTGTTCGTAAGTATGCTTGATAAATGAGGGCCCAGGGCTCAGCAACGCACTCTGGAGTCACTGGAGCCAGTGACCCACCCTGCCCCGAAATCTGCACCGGATCTGAGACTTATGGTGTGGTATGTTAAGTTATGGTGTGTTGTGTTGTGTTGTGTTGCGGTGGTGTGGTGTGGTATGGTGCGCTGCATTGCGGTATGGTGTGTTGTGTTGTGTTGTGTTGCAGTGGTGTGGTGTGGTGTAGTGCGTTGCATTGCGATATCGTGTTGGGTGTTGTGTTGTGTTGTGCAGTGTTGCAGTGGTGTGGTGTGGTGTAGTGCATTGCGGTATTGTGTTGTGTTGTGTTGCAGTGTTGTGCTGTGTTGCGTTGTGTTGTGTTGTGTTCTGTTGTGTTGTGTTGCAGTGCTGTGGTGTGGTGCGTTGTGTTGCGGTATGATGTGGTGTGTTGTGTTGTGTTGTGTTGCAGTGGCGTGGTGTGGTGTGGTGCGTTGCGGTACGGTGTGGTGCGTTGCATTGCATTGCATTGTGTTGCAGTGCTGTGGTGTGGTGCGTTGTGTTGCGGTATGATGTGGTGTGTTGTGTTGTTGCGGTATGATGTGGTGTGTTGTGTTGTGTTGCAGTGGCGTGGTATGGCATGGTGTGGTGTGGTGTGGTGCGTTGCGGTACGGTGTGGTGCGTTGCATTGCATTGCATTGTGTTGCAGTGCTGTGGTGTGGTGCGTTGTGTTGCGGTATGATGTGGCGTGTTGTGTTGTGTTGCAGTGGCGTGGTGTGGTGTTATGTTTTGTGTTATGTTGCGGTATGGTACGGTATGTTAAAAAAGTAAAGAATTGAAGATTTTTTTAGGATTCCAGTGCTACTGAAATCACTACATCAACTTTATCATAAACCTCCTGCCATTTACGCTAAAATTGATCAGTTTTCTGTGATTTTTTCCCTCCGCATTATAAAGTACTGTTATCTGCAGCCATAGCACAATTATCCCTATTAAAAGGCACAATTTGCTTTATAGCTTCTCTGTTTTGTAAAAAAAAATCATGATTGCTTTGTTTTATTCATAATAACAAATGTGGCAAACGATTACTCACTGAGGTGGTAAACATGCTTAATTTATGTCTTTTCTTCAGGTGAAAACCCACAGGAAATACTGTGATGTGGTTTGTCAAAATAAGACCGCTAAGTGTAGACTTGCATTAAATTTGCCGCTTTTATTTCTTAATACATTTGAATAAATAACTTCAGAAATACACACTTGGACCAAGGACAGGTTCTGTCTTGAAAGTCTAAAATATCCAGAAGATCACACTTTTGGAAGATTGCAGTGATGTCAGTAGGGGCAGAGTTGAACTGTTTCCTTGCGACCAAAACATGGACAGACAGGGCAAAGCACTTAAAACAGAGAGAAGCTGTTACAGAATCTCAGCGGAGTGAGAATACTGATTTAAAAAAGTGTTCAAGAGTCATAATGGATAAGAAATAGAACCATAAATATTTCCAGCCACCACACTGCACAGCTTTAAAAATGATGACACACATGGAGGTGATTTTATTGGTCCTCATTTTATTGCCGACTCACATGGATGTTTTTAAGAACAAAATAACAAAAATGTATATTTAAACGTAGCAAATGAGAAAGTGTATCAACAAAAGGTAACTTGAACAATACTGATGAGGTACACATTTATATTTATTTCGATGGCAGTACTTAAAACTTGTACTGGTGTTGTTAGTTGGAGGCAGTAGTTTATTCTGTTTTCAACTTTTATGTGTCCAGTTGAAATTTCTCTTTTATGTATGGCTTCTATATATGGATATGGCTTTTATATTTACAAGCTAAAATAGGACTTGTCAGAATGGACATACATCCACAGACTGTTGCTGACATTTTAATGAATGGACGAATAACTTTTTTTTCTTTTATTTAGAGGGACGGTGTGCATTAATAAACATTTTACAATGTAAATGTACTCAGTTATAGCCAAAAGGCTAATCTCCATTGGTAGCCCCTATGCCTGAAGGCACATTACAAGAAAAAGGCAACATTAGGATTAAAAAACATTTTAAAAGCAAAACAGCAAGTTAAAGAACATTACACAGAATACCCCCCCCCCCCCCCCCCCCCGGCAAAAAAAGTATATTTTTTTTAACAAACAGTCAAACAAACAACAGAGCTTCATCTTCTGAAGGTTTAGTGTTTCCCTGCAAACAGTCAACGTCGCATGGATGTGCAGATCGTGTCTATATTGAGTCTGTCGGCCAGGACCACGTTTGTAGGATGTCCAAACTAGGTCTTTGCACAGTGGGTTCATGCAAACTTTAATTAGAAACATTTGCATGGTCTTCAGTTGGATAATTTCTCTGAAAATAATCTATTCAGAAAGATATTTTGGAAGCTTACAAAAATGACAAAAGAAGGTAACATGTCTGCTACTGGATCCAAGGGTTTCCACTTGTTATCTTGTGCAACATGCCCTAATAATAATCTTTCCTCTTAGTTTAGGGTTAGGCAATAAAGACCATCACATTAATTTTTATATACATGCAAACTCACATTCCCCACTTATTCCTACCATCACCCCCCCCCCCCCCCCCCCCCGCACACACACACACACACACACACACACACACACACACACACACACACACACACACACACACACACACACACACTCACGCAAACACACACACACAAACCAGCTTATCAGGCGGTGGGAGTCTGTGTCTCCTCAGCACAGAAGCTGAACTCCAGCTTCAGGAGGTGCCTGAAGAGGGTGGGAAGCCAAATCCAAAAGCTGACAGAAAGCACGTACATCAGCATCTCTTACATATCTCCTTCGTTACAAAAACCAAGTCTTCAAAATCATAGGAAACATCCTATATTAATGGAACATTAATAGACTTCATACACCAATGAATAAAAATGTTTTAACTTACTTTGTGTGATCCTTTCTATTTTTTCAGTGGTCACATTTTATTCCACACTGGGAGGTCCGGCTATTGCTCATGGGCTGAAGGAAGCCCAAGTCACCCACATTATAACCAGTAGAGAGCTCCTGGAGACCCGACTGAAGGTAAGAAAAATCAGTAATTATCATTATTATCATTAGCTAGGGGTCTCCTGCTTTTATTTTGATAGGCTACTTCTATTTTATGTCAGTTTGAATTAGCATGTTTGTGAAATAGCGTTTTCTTGTCCGGGGATTGGACCGCCAAGGCTCCCGCCTTGGTCTGCCACCCGATTCGGGGAGGTGTTTCGGGCATGTCCTGCCGGCAGAAGGCCCCCGGGTCGACCCAGGACACGTTGGAGAGGTTACATCTCCAATCTGGTCCGGGAACGCCTTGGGGTCCTGCTGGAGGAGGTGGTGGACAAGGCCGGGGAGAGGACGGCCTGGAGCTCCCTAGTTGGGATGCTGCCCCCGCGACCCGGACCCGGATAAGCGGAGGAAGACGAAGACGAAGACGAAGTGAAATAGCGTGTGTGTGTGTGTGCGTGTGTGTGTGTGTGCGTGTGTGTGTGTGTGTGTGTGTGTGTGTGTGTGTGTGTGTGTGTGTGTGTGTGTGTGTGTGTGTCAGGCTATTCTACCTGAAGTTCCAAGGCTGCAGCAAATCATCATAGTGGACAACACACCAATCACATGGCCCGACTGTCCACGGGGCGTCAGCATCCTCAACATGGAGGCTGTTCAGAAGCTGGGATCCAGACCTGAGAACGGTGAGTCGTCTGAAACGCTAACCCCAAACAAAAAAAATGGATGAAGTGAAAGAGTTAAATATGTATTTGGATCTGGGTGCCTGGAGTACCACAAGGTTCAGTGTGGTCTTATATGTATTTGTATATATATGTGTGTGTGTGTGTGTGTGTGTGTGTGTGTGTGTGTGTGTGTGTGTGTGTGTGTGTGTGTGTGTGTGTCATTATTCATAACTATTTTCTATATAGCTAGTTAAAATTCCTAGGGATTTGTTTATTTATTCATGGGGGCGGGTTGCTTTGATTTAGATTTTGCTGTTTGTTGTAAAGGTATACAAGCGTGGCTTCCATCTACACTGTAGAAACTACGAGAGTATTTTGAACAAAACTGTCTGGAGCATTTTGTTTTTCCAGAGATAAATACATTTTACCCTGATGGGTCTGATCATTTTTCAAATGAAATAGATGTTCTCCTCCATAAAGGACAAGAGGCAAGTGATTGATCGTTTGAGGAATGAATGTATAGCTCATCAGCTGTGACCTTTTATTTGGATCTCAACCCCATTTTCACACCCTCGGGGGCACAGAGACCAACATGTTTGAGCTCATATATCATAAATAAATCACCAAAGCGAAGGAATGTTTAGAAAATGTTGTGTTATATATGTGGACATATACAGATCATAATCAGAAACCAACACTCTACAGCCTCAGCTGATGGTAATTTGTCCTCTAAGGACCTAAATATCTAATTTAATAAGATGTTTTGTCTGGGTATCACCGCTACAAAAGCCTCAGTGGACACAATTTAATCTTCATCTTTTTAAATAATTTATGTTTAGTGAGATCTTAATAATTATTCTTAAAGAGTAGCAAACACTCCCACCCTGAAATGCATGATGGGGTTTCTTCTGGGCATGGGGGTGTTGGTAGGAGTCACTTTAGGTCATGTGAATGAGGAAGTTCTGACATCTGTGTCAGATTAGGTTTGATACTGTCCACGCTGTGTGATGAGAACGAGTTGTTGCCTCCCCACTCTCCTCACTTGCTGCTGAGGCCCCTCTGAACCAGTGACCCGCAGCATGACAAGTTGGTATTGTTATGTACAGATAAAAGGAGGAAGAGGTAGGATTAGGAAGGGAGTTTGGAGCACTGGGATACAGAGGAGGGTCATGTTTACACACAGGGATGTTAACTTCACATGACTTCAGCTCTCAGTGCAGACAGTCCAGAGATCTGCTGTTTTACAAGCGCTCAGAAAGAGGGAGGTGCATTAATTGTAAACCATATTTGCTGTGAGTCAGTAGTAGTGATTCATGCCTAATGTTGCTGTGTGATTGGCCAGCTCTGCAGAACATCTTTTATGTTTATTTACTTGGCAGACGCTTTTATCCAAAGCGACTTACAATTTATAACCTATAGGGCATGTTGTGATCTGTGGGGGAAACCGGAGTACCCGGAGGAAACCCACGCATGCATGTGGAGAACACGCAACTCCACGCAGAAAGGCCGCAGCCGAGTTTTGAACCTGCAACCTTCATGCTGTGAGGCAATGGTGCTAACAACTGCACCACCATGCAGCCCAACTTTTAATGATCTGCCATTAAAATGCTCACAGAATTCACTCAAACGTTAGTTTCATCCAAAGGACAGAGCATCCAGACAGAAGCTGGTTGGTATTTAGAAGGGAGTGTTCAGACATTTGGTAGGAGTAGCTATGAACATATGGCACAACACAGGAGAGTCACGAGTTCAGGTCAAGACTCAGCAGTCCACTTACAGGACTACCATGTCCAGGATGACTACGACCCTCAACAGCAGTCATTATTTAACCCTCTCAGGCTCAAAATAAGTTTAGATAAAAGGACGAACAACTAAGTCCTTCAGCGGTACTTCTGAGTAAAACAAAATGCTCATGAAACACGTGTGTGGAGTAACCAGGTAGGTAGGTTTCAACGTTGCAAATCTGCAACGCCTGCCTCCAGAGGGTTCAAACCTGAACAATATGTTGTGCTTCTAAGCCAAAGTTGAGGACTCATCCATAGTTTTGCCTTAATAAAGAATGGTACCTAAACATCCTCCCAGAGGAACTCCTCCACTGTAATGCTATTGATTCACCTCTTGGTGAATCCACAAGAGGTGTTGTAGCCAACCTGGAGGCACTGATGATGAAAAGCGAGCTCAGTCAGTCAGGTTCTGGACCAGAAGTCGATTGACTTCATGTCAGGGTGAACTAGAGAGGTCTCGAAAAAGGACCAACACATAATGACCCTACTTCCTTTGCATTTGCATTTGCTTCTTCTTCAGCCTTCAGAGAGTACAGAAGCTTTTTTTCTCAGCTCCCTTATCTGCTCCCCCAAGGCTCTTTGTCTCTGTCTGCCTACAGAGCACCTCTCTGCATTTCTCCTGAAATCACTACTTCTACTTCTTTTTGGACATGGACTTAATTAACTGGTCATTCAACGCGATTGATAACATTTTTTCTATGATGAGAACGGAGAAGGGGGCTCCCACCTGTCCCGAGGGGACATTCACAGCGGGATATGCATTCGATTCTTGGGAGCTCTCACGGATCGTGTGCCTCTCTCAGTTGTCCATCGAGGACGTGGAAGATTTGTGGATGTTCGGCCTGATGATCACTGGATTTCTTCTGATTGGAGTGGGAGGATATCTGGTTTTCTGGAAATTTGGGAAGACGGGAGTGATTGGAGTGCAACCCACGCCCATGGAATGTGCCGCTCGTGCGGTAACCTCACAGACTGGGACGTTACTCGAGGTGAACCGTAAGCTGGATAATGTCCTCGCGGCGTTGCCTGTGTTAGTACGCAAGATGGATGTCATCTCGGAGAGGGTCGCCGGACGATGTGGGGATGTTTAGAACGTATAATTGGCTTCACTGGTGGACATGAATGACCACTTATAGACTCCAAGGCAGAGAGGAAAATTATCTCTGCCTGCCCCAAACAAAGTCATGTTTATCCTTATCTGACGCCAAGGCTGCTTCAACACACCCCCACGAAAGGAGGAATGCTGACAGATGCTGTGTCCCGACCTTGCCCCCCTGCCTTCAGATGGTGACTTCTGCTCGAGGTCAGCGACCTGCGGGAAACTCAATGTGCTCTCTCTTCCTTATCTCTCCCTCCCACCTGTCTGTCTGCAGCTGGTTGATGCGCCGTACTGGCAGCTCCCGTTTGGAGGCTTCAGGATCCCGCCCAGCCCCGCCTCCCCATCGGACTCTGATGTTTTGTACCTGTGCTGTTTGTGCTTCTATGTTGAGGAGTTTTTTTTTGTATAATAGAGTTACTCCCCGCTGGATCTAACTCTGCTATGCCTTTTTTTTTACCTTACCCCCAATTATCCTCATGTAACTCCCTTTTCATCTATATATCAAGGTAGCGCGACTCATGTTGCGAATGACCGCAGTCACCAATTCTTGTCATGTGTCTTACCCAGTATGTCTGATCTCTGAATTGTGTGTACTGAAACTCAATTTCGTTTCTCTGTATGTCCTCCACATGTGGTAGAATGACAATAAAAATGACTTTGACTTTGACTTTGATTTATAACTATTAACTCAAGTTTGTGCAAAATCTTACAGAGAAATGTTTGTACAGCATTTAGACCCAAATCACTAGTTCATGCTATAAGCTGTTATGTCTCATTCAGCTCAGGCTTTCATGCATGTTTTCTCTTTTGACTGGACAGCAACACGTAAGAGAAACCATCCGCTGCCCTCAGACATCGCGGTCATCATGTACACCAGTGGATCTACAGGCATCCCTAAAGGGGTCATGATCTCCCACAGCAACATTCTAGCCAGCATCACAGGGATAGCCCAGAGGATCCCCAACCTCAGGTAACAACAACAGTGTATAATTTCTCTCCTTAAACTTGGGCTTTCATTTTGCAGTAACACCTTTGAATTTTACTCCTCAGAATACCAAGACGTTTTCTTGCGTACGGCACCTGCTGACACGCTTTCCAGCTTTCCACAGCAGCCTGAACGATTTCTAATGTTTTAATTCACCGCTTAACCAGCTAATTTAGGAGAGGGGACGTGTGAGTGAGTCACTGCCATAGAAAGCTCAGTTTGCTGTGAGTGAGCGTGTCGAGCGATCCTGTGGCTGATGAGTGAAAAGAAAAGACAAGAAACTTTTAGGGTTGAAGCTACGTCAAGATCAGCTGGCAACGCGGCTGCATTTCTAAATAAAAGCATGTCATTTTGGTGGTGCGTGCAGGTGACGGTTCTGAGAGAGAGAACTGGGCTTGCCTGTCAAATCAGCAGCAGGTGAAGCTCACTGCTCTACCTACCTCACAGCCTGAAGCACATCAACTTGGGTTACACCGATGGGATTCTGTGTGTGAAATAGATGATTACCTGTTGTCCCGTAGCTAATATTATAACTAATATAATCTTTTTTTGTGGTTCAAACTACCCCCTTTTGTAGTCCTTAGAGGGGGTGCTGGAGAGGGCTCTTTCTGATGACTCCCTCGTTCTGCTGGGGGACTTTAACGCTCACATGGGCAACGGCAGTGAGACCTGGAGAGGTGTGGTTGGGAGGAATGGCCCCCCTGATCTGTATCTGAGCTGTGTTTTATTATTGGACTTCATGGACTGTCTATAGTGAACATCATGTTCAAGCATAAAGGTGTCCATATGTGCTCTTGGTACCAGGAAACCTTAGGCCACAGCTCGCTGATCACCTTTGTTGTCATCTCATCGGATCTGCGGCCGCATGTCTTAAACGATCAGGTGAAGAGAGAGGAGGAGCTGTCAACTGACCACTACCTTGGTGGTGAGTTGGTTTCGATGGTGGGGGAGTATGCCAGTCAGAGCTGGCAGGCCCAAACCACTTGGGGTATGCAGATAACATCTGGCAGAGTCTCCTGTCACAGGAAGTTTCAATTCCCACTTCCAACAGAACTTCCAAAATGTTCCGGGGGAGGTGGGGGGACATTGACTCCGAGTGGGCTCTGTTCCATGTGTCCGTTGTCCGTGCGGCCAACATTGTAGTGAGGAGAGACGCGGAGTCAGTCAGAGGCGATGTTAAATCCTCAGTATCCAGAATGATAATGAATCGCGTATGCAGGACGCTCTACTCTATCCGCCAATCAGAGGCTCCCTCTAGCAGCAGGTGTGCATTTGAGCTGGCCCGTCAGTTTGTAGTGGGTGTGTTGGATCTGTTCAGCCCGAAGCAGACCTCCTTGGTGTGTGTGGGCCAAAAAACAAGACTATCTAGATATGAACACTTTAAAGGCTACTCAGCCCGGTCTGTGCTGGCCCAGATGTGAAAGTGCCACATACTTTTGATCTAATGTGATCATTATGTAGGAATTATAAAATAGTACAAACACTGTTTTAGCTGTAAAAGAATTTGTTTTTAATGTAAGTACAACCTTTTTCTAAAATCCTCTTACTTACATCTCACTCCTTCTCTTCTTTAATAAGCTTGGCAAAAGACTTGTTTAAAATAAAAGCCAACCCTTCTCCTTGATGAAAAGTAGGAGTTCAAAGCAAAGGTCATCATGAGTGGAGGAACATTCAGGGAGGATGGCAACTTGGGAGAAGTGGTTGAAATCTGGTCCGATCCAAATCTGAATTCTTAGAAACATTATGGCTTTTGTTTTTACATCCATTAATCCAACATAATTAATTTCATCCATATGTACACAATCTTAGAGTTTATCTAATATTTTTACCCCCACCCCCAATGTGGAATACCCAGAAATACTTGTGATAAGCAGAAACTAAAAGGGACAAAAAATGTTGTTTGGATTGGATACTGTTTGAGCTCTTTGGAGTTTAATTTCCTTTGAATTACAATAAAGGAAAATCATTCACAATCAACTGTGAAAACACATAGCTATCACTCTCCAGAAGGTGTGTGTGTGTGTGTGTGTGTGTGTGTGTGTGTGTGTGTGTGTGTGTGTGTGTGTGTGTGTGTGTGTTTGTGTGTGTGTGTGTGTGTGTGTGTGTTTGTGTGTGTGTGTGTGTGTGTAGGTGTGTAGGGGTGTGTGTGTGTGCGCGTGTGTGTGTGTGTGTGTGTGTGTGTGTGTGTGTGTGTGTGCGTGTGTGTGTGTGTGTGTGTGTGTGTGTGTGTGTGTGTGTGTGTTTGTGTGTGTGTGTGTGTGTGTGCGTGTGTGTGTGTGTGTGTGTGTGTGTGTGTGTGTGTGTGTGTGTGTGTGTGTGTAAATTCAATCCTGAATCGCTGGCAGGATTTAAATAAAACTCGGAAAATAATCACTGAATGTTCAACTATGTACTTCATTCCTATTCAGATGTATTTGTCTAGTTTAGCATGTTGATGCCCCCCCCCCCCCCCCCGGGGGGGGGGGGGGACAAATATGTTAACTAAAATAAAATACGTTGATAGGGCAGTTTGATGAGTTCGTGGACTCGTGATGAACAAGATGTTCCTCAGCCTTGTTGTTCAGGCTTTGAGGCAGCTTATTCTTCTGCCTGGATGTCTCAGGAGGGGAGACTGGTGCACTACCAACACTGTTAATAGTGGGGACAGTGTGTAGCTGACCTGGACCTGGGACATTATGGGTTGGTGGGCGAAATACTTCAAAGACCTCCTCAATCCCATCTTCCAATGAGTCTGGGGACTTTGAGATGGGCTCGCCAGTCTCTGATGGTGATGTTGCTTTGGGGGGCATCAAGGCAGTTCCACTGGATTGGCAGACTGGGTTGGTGGTCCCCCTATTTGAAAAGAGGGACTACAGGAATTGTTCCAACTACAGGGGATCACACTCATAAGCCTCCCTACTGAGGTCTGTATGGGAAGTCTGGGCCTGTCTGCTTAGGCTGCTGCCCCCACAGCCCAATGTCCAGATAAGCAGAAGAAAATGGATGGATAAATGGATACTTCATTGGATGTGAGTCTACAACTGGAGTTGATGTTAATGGCTTTCCCAGCCTACAGAATCTGACTATCACAAACCCAAATCCGAACTCAGGAAGTTTTACAGATGCTGAGCCAACATTTGATGAGTTAGAAGTTGACGGTCAATACCCACGGCTTTAACATTTTGCATGGGATCGTACATAAAGTTGTTTTCAAGACTTGACCAGAACAACCATAGCCCAGTTGTTTCTCAGTATAAGTCCATCTTTTTATCTGTGTTTGCAGTGAGGAAGACACCTACATCGGCTACCTCCCTCTGGCTCATGTGCTGGAGCTGTGTGCAGAGCTTATCTGTATTTCTCATGGCTGTAGGATTGGCTACTCCTCACCTCAAACGCTCGCCGATCAGGTAAATATAATGTAACTCTGACCCTGAAGTTTTTTACCATCAAGCATGAACAAACCTTAGCAAGTAACACATACATATGTAACTCTGATTCTTGTAGATATTTTTGGAAATGCATCAACTGTCCTTTGTCCACATAGGAGATGAGAAGATTTATCCTTCAGTTATCATCACAAATTAGTGGAGCAGTTGGCTCTTAATTAAAAGTGGACACAGCTGGTAATGACCATTCTGAGTGTTATTAAAGCTGAAAACGTCCACCCACTAGCTCATCCGAAGCCTGCTAATTAGAGATGGTTTATGTAACAAGTGCTTACACACAAGGCATGCATATCTTCAGTACAACAATATAGTGGTTATATAAGCTAACCAAAAAATAAAAACTCTTCCTTTTAATTACTGAGCTTTAGTGGAAATGATAAGGTGTTACTTTTTGAAATGAACTTGCTGTTTTCCCCATTTCTGGTCGTGATCCTGAATCCACGAGCTGAAAACCATAACTTCATTTTTGCCATTAATGGGTTTTTGTTTGAAACACTTAACTATTATGTTGTAATAATGTAATTATAATAAGTAAATGTAAGTAATGTAATATTCTAATAACCTGGCCTCATATTTCAAGTGGGCAGAAGAAATGTCTGGACTTTACTGACAGCTCATTCAGAAACCGAGAATGACAATGTGACCGACTGAAAACGCTTTCATTTACACAGGAGGAACCGACTTGTATGAAGAGTCATCTGCTGGGAAAATCAAGACCACTTATTAAAGGGAAACCATGTAGTAGAAATATCAAAATTAATTTTTTAAACTGTAATTTAAAAGTGTTTTTAAAAACTGCACTCATCATAAAGACTGAGAAGGAAGAGGGACTGGAGTCTTCTGCCAGGAAACAAAAAGTTCACAAAAAAGACTCAAGTGAAAAGACATTAGATTAGATTGTTTTCACAAACCTGTCAGGCTACAAAACAGATTGGATTGAGGAGACTGGAGTTGAGATGTAGCGTCTGGTTTGACTCAAGCGCAGAGATACTAGCGTTACGGACACTCGCACAAGTCCCTCGCACAAGTCCTGAAGGGAAACAGGATCATAGGGATGTTCCAAAGTAACAAAGACTGACTTACAAGTCTGAAGCAGAAGGAAGATTGAACTGGGAAGCTCGGAATTCTTGAAGGCTGATTCCCAGCAGCCGTTGCCTCCATGCCTCAACACACCCCCACGATTGCCAGCAGTTCCCGATCCCCAACTCCAAATTTCTGCTGGGTGAAGGAGAGCTTTCATGAGATGTAGCAACTTCGGCCTTGGTGTTGGTCAGTAAGGAAAGGGAAGCGATGATGGAGCTGAAGTTTCTGATGGAACACCGATTGAAATTGGCAAAGTCTAGAAAGCTTTGGGGACACCGCAGGTTAACGGGGAGCGGCCACTGAGTTATGGCCTTACCCTCCTGTGGATCCATGAGAAGGCCTCTGGTGGTTATGATGAAACCCTGGAAAGGGGTGGACTGCTAGTGAAATGAGCATTTTTAGAATTTACACAACAGGTAATTTTCCAATAGATGGGTGAGGACTGCGCGGATGTGATGGACGTGTTCAGCTTCGGCCTTGGAGTATATGAAGATGTCCTCGAAGTAGGCAAAGGCTGGCAGGCCAAGCACTGAAACACCGCTGGATTATTGCGTAAGCCAAACAACATCATCAGATACTCCCAGTGGCCGGTGGGTGTGATGAAAGATGTTTTCCATTTCTCACCTTGCTTGATGCAGACCAGGTTATAGGCTCTGCTGAGGTCTAGTTTAGTGAAGATCTGGGCTTGTGATAATGAATCCAGAGCAGTCGACATGAGAGGCAATAGGTGGCGATCCTTGGTATGATTTTGCTTAGCCAGCAGTAATCGTTTATTGGGCCATAGTCCTCCATCTTTCTCCTTCACAAAGAAGAACCTGGTGGCTCCAGGAGATGTGGAAGGTCTTATGAAGCCCTGCTGAAGCGCCTCTGAAAGGTACTCCTCCATAGATGGCGTTTCAGCAGGTGAGAGCGAGAAGAGGCGACCCCGTGGTAGAACTGTGCTGGGCTGAAGCTTAATCTCCATATTGTAGGGATGATGAGGATGGAGTGTAGTGGTAGGTTCCTTATCAAAAACACTGGCCAGATCAGTGGTGAGAGGGGATTCCATCTGGAACCGGACCTTGGAGCTTGGCTGAGGAGACTGGTTGGCTGGAGGTGCCAGACAGGTGATGGTGGCATGAAGGCCTCCAGCAGAGAAGCTGATTACAGGACCAGGAGATGTATGGGTCATGTAGGCGGAACCAAGGGTGCCCCAGGATAAGGGGCAAAAAAGGGGCTGATACGACGAGGAATGGTAAAGTTAAAGTTAAAGTCCCATCAGTTGTCTCACACACACTGATGTGTGTGCGACATTTGTTCTCCGCATTTGACCCATCCCCTGGGGGAGTGGTGAGCTGCAGACACAGCCGCGCTCGGGAACCATTTGGTGGTTTAACCCCCCCAATCCAACCCCTTAATGCTGAGTGTCAGGCAGGGAGGCATTGGGTCCCATTTTTTCTAAGTCTTTGGTATGACCGGACCAGGAATCAAACTCTAATTTCGAAGTGTCAGGGCGGACACTCTACCACTAGGCCACTGAGCTGGTATGATCTCAATATGCTCACCCATCTTCATCTGAAGGGGTGGGTCCAGCGCCGGATGGGGAAGAGGCCTGCCGTCGATTGAGGTGACCAGAAGGGCACGCTCCAGCCGGCCCATTGGTATGTTTAGCCGGATGGCTAGTTGTAGGTCTATAAAGTTCTTGGCCGCCTCAGTGTCGAGAAGGGCTTCGAGAGGAGCAGGTCCGTGGTGCAGGCAGAGAGTGATCTTCACTAGGAAGCAGTTAGTCGGAGGGGTCAGAACTCCTCCGATGTCCACCTGGTCTCGCTTTTTACCGGCCGCAGTGCGCACTAGAGACAATGATGCTCCGGGGATCCACAATACGCACAAAGGCTGTTCTTTGATCTTGACTATCGCACTCCAGGTGAGAGTCACCCTAGCAGCACGGGTTCCTCTGCTGGAAGCCCACCTTCTTGTCTCGAATGTAGGGTATGAGTCCTTTCACAAAAAGAGCTTTAAGAGCTGCATCCCCCCACTGGAGTTTAGCGACCACAGTATGGAGTTTGATGCGTACTGGCACACTGATTGGTTTCTCTGGTGGAGCTGGCGAAGCTTGATCTTAGCCCCCACCTCACTACTTGGGGGAACAAATGCCTTCTGGATCTCCTAAACAAAACTAGGGCAATCCATACAGGCTGGGGTCTTGTTATAATAGAGGGCAGCTGCTCATTCCTCTGCTCGGCCGTTTAGCAGTGAGGTCAAAAGGGCAACACGGGAGCAGGTGGTAGAATATCTGTTGGGTTGACATTCGAACAACATGTCCAAGAAGGCTAAAGCCTGGTTTATGCTTCTCCGTCAGCTCCGCAAGGGACAGACACGCACGGATTGACGGAAGTGTTTTGCTTTCATACTTCTCCGTCTCCTGGAGAGTGTTGCAAAGCAATTCCCCGGCAGGACAACAGAGGGCGTAGCGCTGTTCTGTGGTATCCTGTCATGTATCGGTCCAAAATAGTGTGTTTATATTGTGTTTTTTGTGTTTATAAGAGACTTTTAACACGGACATATTTGTCTCTCATTCTCCCACCTCTTCATGTGCTCCCCACCTCTAAACCCACGTTTCCTGTCATTTCCGTCCACAAATAAAACGCTTGCTGCGCATCTTTTCACTCCTGCAGTCACGGGAGAATTAAACGTTCATATTTTTAGAGTTTTTTCGCGAGGTATTCTTCAAGCTGCTCCGTGTCTGCCGCTAGTTATCCTCGGCTCTCTTTGCAATGGCGGCGCTGTAAACAACAGCAGCGTCCTGACCAATCACAAGCTTGCGTAATCCGTCTCGTTCGACGGATATTTAAAAAAGTGGGCTTGACTCTGTGCGTACTTGCGTGCCTGCTGGAAGCCTACGCAAGGACGGATAATGGCGTTGCGTGTCTCCGCACTGACGCAGACGGAGAAGCATAAATCAGGCTTAATAAGCCCTTGGGACCCCCGTCCGTCTCGTTCCAGCGCTCCGAAAGGCCTTTGTGTGGTTCCTCTCTGGGTGTTGACCACTGAGTTAGGAGAGTGTTAATGGTGTTCAACAGTCGAAGGTCCGTCTCCGAGATTGATTGGATTTTGGTGGCTTGTCTGTCCACTATTGAGCGCAGCGGAATCACCTCGGAGCATAATCACTCAAACTCCACCTGGTCACGTCTTAACTCAGTCATCCAGTCGTGCTACACAATGGACTGGACTGTGGGGACCTGGAGTTGAGATGTAGGATGTGGTTTGACCCAAGTGTAGAAATACTAGTGTTGGGGCAGATGACATAATTTGATCTTGTGATCCCTACAGGAGTCCTGAAGAGAAACAGGATCAAGGGGTGTTCCAAATTAGCAAAGACTGACTTAAGAGTTTGAAGCAACTTGAGTTAATATTTCCTGCAAGGAAGTTCAAATAAAAACGTTCACCAGGATCCAGTCAGAATTTTTGTGGTTCATAGTGATTCCATCACAAGCCTGAAGCTGGACAAAAAAATCTAAACATGTAATACTTTCATTTATTCTCATGTATGACATGTGGTCCAAACGTAAGTGAAACCTGTGGAGCATTACTAATGAGTCCGCTGTCAGAAATCTGAATTATTCCTGTTACATTGCAGTTTTTTCTTCTCACAGTCAACCAAGATCAAGAAAGGAAGCAGGGGAGATGCCAGCGTCCTGCAGCCCACCCTGATGGCAGCTGTCCCGGTATGTGATGAGAGTTCATTCTCATAGATGAGATGCCCTAATGTTTAGATTTTCCCTCCCTAAGTCATTCTCCATGTCGTTTGAGTTTGGCCTCATTGCTGAGCAGATCCGACCCAACTGGTTTAGCCCATTAACCCACGCAGGAACAGCAGACCTGGTCCTGCTGCATCCACTGACCACTGATCAGTGGTGGGCTGTAGTTAGGACTTCATCATTTCCGTTCAGTGAGACTGACATCATGGTGGTGATTTTGGTGACCCACCACCTTTACGTCAGATTTTTAAAGCTAAAATCATCTTATAACAATTTATACTTTATTGGTCCTCATGAGGAAATTACTTTCTTTATTTGACCAATCCCTGAGGAGCAATGTGCTGCCGACTGTAGAGCACCCAGGGGCCTGGAATCAAATCTCTTACCTTCAGATCAGTGGACAGCCCCTCTCCACCGCAGTGCTGCTTAGATATAATGTATTTATAGTCATGTTAGTGAAGTCTTGTGTGATCTCTCGAGGTATCAAAGACCAACCAGTAAACGCTCGGATTGTTGTGAATGTCTCTCGGCTACTACGACGCGATATGACAGCTAAATATCTATGGAAGTGAGTTATAGTCGTTTTGTGTTTGCTGATTAATAAATATTATTAATACTTTTATAGATAATAATCCTTTATGGTATTTTATTGCACATCAAACCTCATTTTAGATCAGATACCAGCTGCTCCAAAGCAGGATACACTTTGTTGCAGTACTGTCTTATCTTCCCAGCCCCCATCCCTCTCCCAACCCCCTGCATCTCCCAGTGGTGGTGGTGTAAAGGCCAAAGGACCCCATTCTCTGAAACCGTTCACAGCTGTAAACGGAACGTGAGAAAGCCCCATGTGGTTCTCCCCACGACATGCTCACATACTAACTGTTTGCTGTGATACGGCGTTTGGCTGCTGCATGCATCCTGCGTCAACTTCCTCTCTCAGATTCACACACACACACACACACACATGCACGCGCACACGTGCGCACACGCACACACACACACACACGAATAAGCAGCCATGTTATTGTATATTTTTTGTTTTTACCCTTTCCCCTAATTACTGTCAAGAGCTGCAACTCATTGAAACTTTTAAGTTTATTTAAACTGATTCATGTTTCACTTTGTCACCCTGTTGTACTCACATTACAAAATTAAGATCAAGTTACCGTAGATAAGCATACATTTCACTGTAGTAGACTGTCCAGCTATACAATATTCCATTTGTAATGTCTGTTATAAAATAATTGTTCAGAGTTATAACGTATTGGTGTAACACTCCATAGAACCGCGTGAAAGACAGAGGAAAGCTTTTTGTTGTAATTTGGTGTTTGAATCACCAGCACATAATTACTGTAAATTCAGCCCACACTTTAAGTTTTGTGGAATTAATGAAACATGATCTGGTTTCACCAAGTTCTAAGTTTATTAAAGGTGTAATATGTAAGAATATAGTAACAGATACATCCTGTGGTCAAATTAGGTTACTGCAGGTCATTTTTTGGAAACAAAACATTATATTCTCACTGCCGTTCCATGAGAAACACAATTGTAGCCAGTTGCAGATCAGTGCCAGAAGATGATAAGCGAAGACGAGTAAAAAACAGTAAGTTGATCAGTAGATTGTTATATCTGGTGTTAGCCCACTTGGGTGCTAGTCGGGAGCACTTACTACACTTACCCCTACTTCACACTGGAAACATCAGCGAAACGGCACTGTTTCAAATTAGAATCTATCATGGTCTATGGGAGTGATTCAAACCAGTTGCGACGCAGACATTTTTGGACGTGTGTCAGAAGCGGTGCACCACACCGCTAAAGATAGGATCAGGTTCTAATTTCCACTGGTAAAAGGGCTAGACAAGAAGTCGTATATGGTTTCAATGTAAAAACCGCAGTAATTAAAAAAATAATAATACTATTGCAGCAATGCAATTTCTTATCTGTGTAGATTTCCTCTTTTTTTGGTTTAATGGTTTTGAGGTTTAATGGGTTTGGTAAATTGAGTGCTTTAAGAGCTCAATATATATGACCTCTACTTATGACCAATAAGCTGTGACACTCTATCTAATTATAGAATATTGTAATTATCTGAAGTTGTATATTTATACACTGTAATTAGATCTAAGTATTATAATCAGAAGTGGTTGCTTTTATCATCAGGGAGTTTACTTAAACACTCTGTATTGACTGAGAGACAAGAAAAGAGAGAGTTGGGATCATTTAAGAATCTTTAATTTCTATAATTATAAATTCTTACAATCTACCAGGACTATCTCAATGATGAATGCATATGGATTTGGATGTTTCGTGTTGGTGTGTGTGTGTGTGTTGTTCAGAATCTCTAGGCTGACGTAGCGAATCTGGTTATTATGACTAGGCTACCACGAGGCTTCAGAAGCTGATGACATGAGCCGCCATTTTGTGCCGTGACCACGTACCTATGGAGTCTCCCGTGTAGATCAGGAAATGCCAGGTCCTCGGACCTTGGATGTACCGGAGCTGGTGAAACAGCTGTCGCAGCACTACAAAGCCCGTCTGTGGGTCGGCTCCGGTAGCAGTTGGCAGGCGTCAGCAAGTTCACTCTTATTTTGAAGGAACGTCATTTTGTTGGTTCATACGACGGAAATCTCCAGCTTGACAGTTCTCAGCTTAAAATAGAAAGTACAGCTGGCCAGTCTGTACTTCTCTTTTGGAGGTGATGGATTGAGAGCTGGTTGAAAACAATGTTGAGAGTATGATGTAACTCCTTTGGAGCTCGGATCGAACAGAGCTGAGGTTAAAATGGAACTGAATATAAAATGGTGTTGCCTTGTTTTATATCCCCTAATTGTTTACAAATCTTGGTAAACCGGATTGGACAACTTTCATTAAACAACCCAGGTTCTCTCTACGACAGACAAAAGTTCTGATTGGTTGAAAATATTGTGTCATGCGTTTCCATGGTAATGTAGGTCAGTCTGTCTGGTGCAGTCCTGTTTATTCATTAAACACATAACTCATGACATCTTTATTTCACAGATCATTCACCTGATTATTAATGATCAACATATGCTCTGATTAGCTTATCACAAATAAAGTACTTTGATTAAGGAAAGCGTTCTTCTTCTCTTCTTCTGTCTCTTCTCCTGGAATGTAAACATACTGAACCAAGCGTCCGACCTTGGCGATGTTACTGTGTGAAGGGGCAGCTGTTAAGGCAGACAATTATAATCTTCATAACTCTACACACACCCCTTTTCAAGGTCAATGTGGTCCTGCAAGAGACCACTTGGTCGTTGAACAATCCCAAGTTATGAAGAACCTGGACAACCGACAGGATGCGATCCCACCGGAAGCCAACCGTGGTGAGGTACGAACCCCACGCTGAAGAACAGTCACGCACACTCCTCAGGAAGAACACAAGTCAGCAGGTTATTAACTATTCCCCATGGAAGCCATAATTGAAGCAACAGCAGCTGTATATCCTCACGGACAAAAATGCAAAGCAGGAGCAAATCTTGTGTATATCCACGAACAGGTAATTATTCCACATAGAAGACTGATCTTTGTATCCACTGGCAGGGTAATATTCCAAATATAAATTGAACTTTGCAACAGTACTTATCGTAATCCCCAAAAAGGGAAGAGTAGTAGACAGTAATCCCAACGAATGCGGTGTCCCAGCAGCCATGCCGGAACCACGGTCGTCCAAGGCCAACGAGCCGGAGCACCACCCAGGAGTAGTCGATGCAGATGACGAGTCACGGATCCACCCCCAGGAAGCAGGATCCTCACGAGCTCAGCAGAGGAGAGAGAGCACAGTGCAGGCACCTCAATGTAGACACGACAAAATTGCATTTCATGTCATCAAAGAAATAAAAACCTAACTCTATGAGTACCTGTTGTACTATGTGTAAGTTTTATGTGAATTACCCATTAAGTGAAGAAATGGATGCAACCTTCTCTTTGTGAGATGCAAAAAGGATGATGCGAAAAGCAGAAAATGAAAGAACCCTAACCGGTATCAGTGGATCCTCACAGGAAAGACACGCTGTCAGGATAGGGGCAAAATTGGCTATAGCCCTGTAAGGTAAGTCAACGTTGATAATCATAACAATCACTTTCAAATCAACTTGTCAAAGATACTATAAAAAATAGAAATGTAAATCAGTACTAAAATTTAAATCAGTAGTTAGTAATCACTTTCATGTTAATGTACCCATAAGGAATTGTGATTAGTAAAGATAAAAAAACAAAATTTTGGACAACAGTACTATGTGGCCTAACCCACTTACTGTCACCTGGCCGTTTACCTGACTCCAGGAGCCCACAGCACGTCCGTTTCAACACACCCTAAGTCTGCACGTGACGTATAACATGAAAGACAACCATGCACACCCACAATCAAACAAATTTGTGTAACCGGAGATAGAAGTCTGTGGAACCACCGAGTCCGATAACCGGGATCCTCCACCTTCTATGTCCCTGATGTTGGAGGAGGAGGAGGCGGAGGAGGAGAGGAACTCACCGGCTCCGGCGCAGTCGCCCGGGCAGCCGGTCTTTCACGACGCGGTTCCAAGGTCCGAGCCAGGCGTCCACTAACATCACCGATCGACGTCTCCAGATTTTTCAATTCGGCGGAGAACCGACGGTATTGGAAAAGGAACATAGCCCAAATTAAGCAGATGTTTATGCCTATAATGAATTTATCACCGAGTCAGCGGAGGACCAGGAGTAAGACACTGGTCGAAACTGAAGATCGGGATCCGACTTCAGCTCACGCAGCACCCTGTTCACCACACCCACGCGAACCACGGTCGGACCGCCGAACGTCACCCGATCCACCGTCCTTTGAGAGAGAGCAAAAGAGATGTTATCATAGAAAGGAGAGGACTCCACTACAGACCTATGCTCACCAGGATCTAAGTGATATAGAGAGACCTCACCAACGTGGACCGTAGCACCACGGGGAACCGTTACCCATAAGG